TTATTTCAACATTATGTATTCTGACGCTAAACCAATTTATATTTACTTTTATATTGTTTTAATAAATGTCTGTACAAATTTTAATTCTACAAAGTTTATAATTACAATATTTTTAGCCTTTAATTTTGTATAATATTTAAAATTCCTTATCAGTGCCGGGCAGCCATGTGGATCACACTTCAAAACACACTATTACAACGCTCACATAACTGCCCGATACTGATGAGGTCCAAAAGACCAGTGCTTCCGAGGCGGACATTTAAACGATGTCGTATTCCATAAATAATGGCATCGATTGTGCTTTTATTTAAAATAAAAATCATTTCCATAATTAACCCACAAGTCTTTTAATTGAAAAAACAAAATGCGTCGCTCTTAATAATAAACCCTTAAGTTATTATTGTTCATTTTTAAATTGGCTACAACATCGTTAAAAATTTGTAATAAATTTTGGTATAGGGTCGTTTTGAGGGGTGGTGAATCCAGTGCTTTTAGAAACTGACATAGTAGGCCTTGTATTTTGTAAAAATATGGCGTTTTTTGCTCCCAAAATACAGTTTATGAGGTAAATCTTTCTGGCTAGCCACATCTATGTGGGTCGTTTTCAAAAAACACTCGCCTTCCGCTGTCCGTAAATTTGAATTCCAATAACTTTGTTAAAAATTATCGGATCTTATTGATTTAACAACCAAGTGAAAGCCTTACAAATATTTTTTTTTTAATTTTGAAACTTGTGAAACTCACATTTTCGCATGTCCCATTAGCGTTTTATAAAACTTACATACATGTTTTTTTTTAAATATTGAATAACCAGAACTTTGTGTTGCTTTATAGCAATCCATAACATCTTTAGTTAATACAGTAAACAATTTATATATAAAATAATTCATTTTAATCTACTTTTTTTAAATTTGACTCATGTCTCAGACATTTTTTCCGTTCCGTTACGTTCGTCGCGTTACCGATAGAATATTTAAAAAAAACATATATATGGCAACTTTTTTGGTACTCACGTGATCAACAAATGATGTTCGGACGTACACATTACCCAGCTGAATTTATTTATTTAATCAGGAAGAAGATATCGGTTGAAACAGGTGCGGGTAACGCGAATTTTATAATTGTTTGTCCGCTAAGTTACTCAAAAAAATAATAAAAATAAGGTAAAAAAAACTATTTTTCATGTTTATGTTTATTTTAGGGCACTAAAGCTCATTGAGAGTAATTAATGACTGTAATGTCTTATTATTATTTTTTAAATATGGTTTCATAAAACTTTTTCCACTGCGTTACCGGGTCCATTATGTTACCTTATGGTAACGCAATGGAATTTAGGGTAACGCAATAGAATTTTTCGACAACAAAGTGGATATTTACCGTCGCTTTAATTAAAAGTAGTTTATGATAAACCAATTTAAAATTATTTGTGATTACAACTCATGATATAGATTACATCCAAGGGAAAATTACACGCAATATACAAGTACTAAAAGGGATCTTCACCGGCTTATAGTCAAAGAAAAAGGGTGTCTACAATTTAGAAATCTAAGTTGTTATTCTGCAAGTGAGCACCACTACAAGGGATTTTGTTTATGTTTACTCTAAAATCGTACCACCCATTATAGTTTCTTTTTTACGTTGTCTAATTAAGTCCTTTGTGTACCTCAGTCCGTTGTGATACCAATGTCTATTTCGTAACTTTTTTTTGTTAAAAATAAATACTTAAAATGATTTTTATACACTATCACTTGGTAATACGTGTTTATAAATTAGAGTTTAACTCACTAATACAGTGACTAAAAGAAAATATTAATGGTATTGTTTTTTTAAGAAATAATCGGAATGGTTTCTTTTAAAAAGTAACTTAACGAACATACATATTTAAAAAGGCATACAATTTTTAATAAAAAATAAAATAAAAAATTGGAGTCAATAGTTTGTGAACTAAGTACATTTTATTTCAACTTTTTTTATTGAATTAAATTTTGGATTTCAAATTGGTAACACAGTGGAGATATATGAAGCTAGCTAAACAGATTTTTCTAATAAAACGTAAAAAAAAATAAAAAGTGCACTGCCTGTCTTAAATGTAAGTAAACAAAACTCTAAACATTTATAAAAATCCAACCAAAAGTCAATTTAAGCAAAAAAAATGTTTGATCTTCATTTTCCTGAAAGCGGGTGTTTCTTGAAAATGACCCATGTACATAATGGGATACAAGTGGAGGCGGCAATAATTTAAAATCATCAAACTTCAACTCAAAGGTTGCTTTCCAGGCAGGGCCGGCGTTAACTTATTAGAGGCCAGGTGCAAAAAAAAATGCGGGGCTTGAACTAAAAATTTACTCTTGAAAATTAACATATGTAGCGCTTAGCGGCAATAAACCAATTGAAGGGGTTACAGCTGAAACCGCCCAAGTGCATTTTTAAAGTCAAAATTTTTTAAGCGTGTTACCGGATAGTAGAAAATTTTGACTTGGGTGGTTCAGCTTTTCCTATCAATTAATATAGAAATTAACGTTTAAGAAAAAATCACACATAATTTTTCCCTGTTTTAGCTCTTTTCCAACATCCTTCTCTATTGACAATATAGCCAAACCCACTAGTCGTTCTTGGCACATATCTTCTTGATTTAAATATTTTTTTATTAATTTTAATTTTGAAAAACCCTTTTCCCGGCGTAATAATAATTTTTTTAAACGGATAAAGGCAACTTTAAATACGCATTTAGCAAAATTGGACTGAATGATAATAGATGACGGTACCTACTAAAGATATTAATTATCTCTGGCAATGACCAGATATTATTTTGTCACGCTTTGCTTACAGCTTGCCATGTTGCTAAAATGTACAATAATTTCGTTAAGACGCCTTAATGCGCGCGGGGCCTATAAAACGCGGGGCCGGGTGCAACCGCACCGTTTGCACATGCCTCACGCCGGCACTGTTTCCAGGCAAAATAATCATCCGGTAAAGGTTTTGTTCCAAAACTGCAGTTCTCATGTGTATGCCTTCAAGCCCGTATATTATTATGGCAAGCCGTTTTAGTTTTTATTACACATGGCTATCAAGTCTCATTTTAATTCGACTTTATTTCTATGAGACATTAGATAATTGAAATTATATGTATTTTCCTTAAGGGAAATTACATTTTAATTACAAATTATAAATGAAATTCCTTTTTTAATAAGCATTGAAATTTTGGGTACATTAAATTGAAAAGATTAGATGTAGAGGATGATTTACATTCGAAATTGTAATAAAAATACTAAAACAGTTCATTTTTATTTGAAATAATAATAAAAATTATTTTTATGACAAATAGTAATTTTAATGCAATTTTCGTTAAGGAAAGTAGTTTTTATTATAATTAAGAATTTAAATGCATTTCCGTTAACGGAAATGCAATTTCCCTTATAAGGAAAATATCATTTCTGTTAAGAGAAATTGTATTTCCCTTAACGGAAATAGCATTTTCGTTAAGGGAAATTGGCGCCATCTATGAGAGGACGGCTGAAGTTCAAATAGTTAATTTTATCAAAATTCTATAATATGAAATTATTGCATTGTGATTTTACAAAAGATTTATTAGTAAAAAGAATTTTTTTGAATGTTACCTTTTTAATTTAAAAACCAACCGTTACACCTGTTCATATCCACCCACAAAATATCACCCACCAGTGTTGCCAGATGTAAAAAGTTAAATTATCGAACAATATTGACAAAATTATCGAATTTTCAAAAAATTGTTATTGATAATGTTAAAATAATAGTAATATCAATAATTATGGGTACTACTCGAGAAAACGAAACACTACGAATCGAATCGCGATGACACCGATCGACTTTGGAATGGCATCATTCGAATCGAATTTTGTGTGGCAACGCCGCATGTGTAAGGTGTGTTTTGACGTTTCTAATAAAGGTTATTAAAATGAAAAGATGTAGTAAATAGCAAACTGTAGTATTAATATTATTCATTATTGTTAATTTGTTTCATATTTGTGGCATTCAAACAAAATGAAAGATTCTGGCATCCCAACCAAATTTGGCAGAACTCTGTAAGCGGTGGAAGGTTCCGCACCTTCACCACAGATAGCGCAACTAATTTCTCTTAAGGAAAATGTAATTTCTGTTAAGGGAAATAGCATTTCCGTTAAGGGAAATAACATTTTCGTTAAGGGAATTGTAATTTCCCTTAACGGAAATAGAAGTTAATTTTTGTTTAGTTAAAAATAAAAGTATTTGGGCTATTTTTTGTACATATGATCATCAAGTCTCATTTTAATTCGATGTTATTTTCTGGTTCTTTAAATATTGATATACTCTATATATTGCGGTTCTAAATTTTATTCGGGACAACATTTCAATGAGTAATTCAAATTAAAATGTTTTTAATTTTTATGTCATTTAGGAAAGTATAAAACTATATCTTTAAGGACAAATGCATTTATATTCGTAATAGTAATTTTAATTCGTTTTATTTTAATACTTAGCCTGGTCTAACATAAATAAAATGTAACATTTTATCCAAGTCAGAAGCTACTTTAATAAAATTGAATTTAAATAAAATTCTTTTAATGTGTCATAAAATTGCTCCAAAAAACTAAAACAGTAAAAATAATTTGCATTAAAATTATAATTAGTAAATTTAATAAAATTTCTGTTAACGAAAATTGCTTTCACGTTAAGGACAATATTTAAATACAACAAATGCATTATTTTTACTATTTGTAAAGAAAATATGCATTCAATTTTGAAATTATAATAAAAATGTAATTTCCCTTAAGGAAAATACATATAATTTCAATTATCTAATGTCTCATAGAAATCAAGTCGAATTAAAATGAGACTTGATAGCCATGTGTAATAAAAACTAAAACGGATTGCCATATATTATAAAGTAATAATTTAAGAGATTATAACCTTTAAAATGTAAATACTAAAACTGTCTTACTTTGTAGATATTATTAAAATATGTTTTCTGTTTGTTGCAGGTCATGATAGAAGATAAAACTGTTAAATATGCTTCAGGACATTGTTCAAAGTAAAATAACTAAGCTCATTAAAGAAAAACTGGTGTTCATAGAAGAAACCTAAGTACCCAAAAACGAACATCATGGATCCCGGTTTAAACTCCAACTTCACAAACTCGTCTTGGGACGATTCGTGCATGTACAGCGTTGCAACACACATCAAGTTCTATCGCTTCGTAACGAACGGCATCCTGCTGAACTTTTTCGGATGCCTGGGAATCCTAGGCAACATCATCTCGATGATAATCCTTTCCAGACCTCAGATGCGATCGAGCATTAATTGTTTATTGATCGGATTGGCCCGTATCGATACCCTGTTGATTATAACCAGCATTCTATTGTTTGGATTGCCGGGTATTTTCCCGTACAGCGGTTTTCTGTTTAATTATTATTATTACGTGTATGCGCACATTGCGCCTGTTGTCTACCCCTTGGGGATGATGGCCCAGACCGCCTCCGTTTATATAACGGTGACGGTGTCTTTAGAACGATTCGTGGCGGTATGTCATCCGCTCAAGGCGCGTGCTTTATGCACCTACGGCAGAGCCAGGGCCTACGTTATAGGCATCATAATATTTTCCATAGCCTATAACATGCCAAGGCTGTGGGAGTCTAACATCCAGCAGGACTTCTACGAGAAAATGAACGTGACGGTTTACTGTCCCAGACCATCGAACTTCCGCAACAATCAGCTCTACATGACGATCTACATACACTGGCTGTACTTAATTTTTCTCTATCTGCTGCCGTTTATGTCGCTCGCTTTTCTCAACGCGTCTATATATACACAGGTAAGCAGACACAGCAAACGGAAAAATATAGAAGTGTATTGGATGACGCCACGTTTGAATACAGTTTTCTAAATCTCGCCAGGGTATAGAGTTGTATTCGTCAGTCGAGCGTTTCAATACTCTTCACAGTATCGTCGTGATTTCACTTTTGAACTAGTATTAATATGAAAACTATTTTATGCTTCAAAAAAAACTATATACGACATGATTGTGATTTTTTTCATTTTATTAATTAATTAAGCTGGGTTGAATATTTTTACTAAAGGAATAATTGCCAATGGGCCATTAATTCATTTGTTCGTAGATACTACAATAACCTGCACTGGTGTATACTTTTTCATCAACCAGATTTAAATATTGCTGTACTAACATATACCAGTGGTAGATAGTGCAGGGTCTACCAACAGACCTCATTACTAAATTATTAAAGTTTAATAGCATATCGATCATTTTTTCAACATAACCTCTGAAGTTTTTAATACATATATAGGTACTTTATAAAATACATAAATATACTTTACATCATATCCTCTGTGCTTTACATACCCGAGTTGTTACGGTAAATAAAAATCAGACAAAGGAACCAAAGAAAGAAACTATTTTCAACAAAATCATATGCAGAAATGACCCTCTTTTTATACTCTCAGAAATATTGACTAGAACAGTATTAGAGAGACTCCAGTTTTCAATAATTTCTAGAGACATAAATGACTGCACCATTCGACAGGGTCGAGTTTCTACCTCTCTGTTGAATATAGAAAATCAAAATAATGTATCTTGTAAGACACCATTGAGTTTGACTTTAAATATAGTCGGGCATAGGTATAGAGCCGAAAAATATAAAAACAAAGCACGATTCAATACAGTTCTGATAAAACTTTAAGATTTAGTATTCAAACGCGGAGTCATCCTATACAGTTCTATATTTTTCCGTTTGCTGTAACGTCAAAGTATCGATTTGGATTTAGATGTATAGAAAATGTTTTATCTGGTGTAAGAGATATTCAGACAAGTTCATCTTTATCTTAAACTTGTAAGCAGTGGCGACTGGTGACATATTAAATTGGGGGGTAGAAATTTATATACATGCAAAAATTGGATAATAAACTTACCGATGTATGTAAGAAGTTGAAACATTAACATATTCAATATGTTAATGTTTTGACTAACCGACCTTTCTCAGAACAAAGTAAACTAAAAGCATCAGCACTCTTACTATTTCGCACGATTAGGATGGCTGACGCCTACTGAAACAGATATATTCCGCCCGCACGTCGCACACCCACGCCTTCATCGATACCGTATACCGTTTACCCGTATTAACCGTTAATATTGAGAATTACATTTAAAAAATTTGTTAGGGTGTAACATTTCAAATAAATTAATGTAATATAATATTTTGGGGGGACTCGGGAGGGCACTACCCCGTTGCCCTCCCTGTAGCAGCCGCCACTGCTTATAAGTTACAAGTTATTTATACACTGAAAGAAAAAAATGGTTAAATTAACTAAAAAAATGGTTAAATCAACAGTTCTTGCACATTCCATACAAACAATGTTTACTTGAAGTTAAAAGAACCATAAATATAAATGTTGTTTTAACAAATTAAAACTATTCAATTATATTTCAGAAATTTATTTTAACCTTTTAAATCTTTTTTGGTCCAACCACTAAAAATATTAAAATAAAATACACGGATTACGGATTAAATAATATTATCTTAATTTTTAATCAAATTATTAAAAATATTAATTTATTGCACAATTGGTAGTGAAATAATAAACATGGGAGCACTTTTAATTTTTAAAATTACTTGGATTAATAAATTTTTAAGTTAAAAAATTGTTACTTAAATCAAAAAATTAAAATATTCAAAAAATTATACTTAAAAAATAATGTTTTATTTCAAATATTGGATAATTAAACCAAATATAAAAGTACACAGAAAAAACGCTAGCATAGCCATTAAACCAATGGGATCTTGTAATCCGTATTCCTGAATAACAGTTCCTATAATACCAATAGGTAGTTAGCACTTGGGTTTTTAATCGTTTACTGTTTTTAAATTAACAACAAAAGTTATCGCTTCTAAATCTATTGATATTTATTTGTTAGAATGTTATTGCATTAAATACTAATTTAATTTATTTAATAACGTTACTATAGTATGAATACTATGTATACATTTAACGCAATAAATTTTTTGACATTTAGGCAAAATGTTTCTCTATATTGGTTAAATAGTAATTAATTGAGCAAATAACAATTTAGATTGCTTTAATTTTAATGCATTCAATGACAGCGCTATTCTTGGTACTATGTTGGATTTTTTTATGTGTATGTTAATGTTAATAAATTTATTTTAAAAATTTAAAACTTTAAAAACCTTATTAGGGGACCTGCTTTTGGAATTATGTCTTTTAAATTTCGGAGTTTATATTTAAAAGCTTTTCCTCATCAATATCTTGGTAGGTAACAATTATGTCACAAGCATTGTAACGCGAGAAAATATTACTATAAACTTAGCTTCGTCTTCAATTATTACAAAACAATAATATTGAATATATTCTGTATTATAAAAGAAAAAATATATTAAAAAACATTAAGATTAAGATTAATTTAACATTAATAGGAGGGTATTTATGCAGCAAAATTAGTATCAAATTAAGCATGCGTATAAGTTAAAGTAATTTTGACATCTGACATTTTTGGTTTGTTTGAATTTTGTTTTAATCCCGTTTTAGCATCTGTTAAGTAAAATAAATGAAAACTATAAACTCTACGTCAAACAATAAACCAAAGAACACAATCATTAAATAAAAAATCAATCATTCAGCAGTAAGTTTCATTTTATTTTCGGGTATGTTGGCATTACTGGCACGGTTTATTTAAAATTGCGCCGCAAACCTGCGCAGGAGGAATAAAAATTAACATTATCATTAAGAAGATAAAAGTTGGCCATCTCTTAATGTTTAATTAATGCTAAAGTTAATGTTAATGTGTTGCATAAAAGCTCCAAATGGATTACGCTCATTTAACTTCTTAATGTTCAATGTAATGTACATTGAAGTAATAAGATAAAAATGTTAAAAAAATATCTTGAGAAAATATTATGTTGACTCAATGTTCTAAATTTGTCAAGGCAAAATACAAAAGAACATCGTTTAAATAATTTATTTTTCGATTCCGTAAAATTCTAAGCATATTTCATATAACATACCATATACCTAAATTCAACCGTTTCTGAAATATTTAAATTATTTTTAAGATAATAAGTTGAAATAGTTTGTCTTTCTCTGTCTGAGAACGCCATTTTTACTTATTTAACTAGACATTTTGACATAATGTCTTGATTTCTAACAGTTTAAAAAAAACATTTAATGATAACATTTCGAATTCGAATATTTCAGAAACGGTTGAGTTTAGGTATATGGTTTGTTTTATAAATTATGCTCAGAATTTTACAAGGAATCGAAAAATAAATTCATATATAGGGTGATCCATTGAAAAAAATAATATTTTTGTTTTTCCCTGTATATTGATCAATTTTCCATTTTTTTATACGTAGAAAAAAAGTATTTTTTTAGTACCTACATAACCACACTTTTTTGGGACACTTAAAATAAAAAAGTTAAAGGGGGGCGACATTTTAGGGGATCACCCTGTACAACTTTGTCAAACTTTTATGAACATTTTTGCTGCTTTTAGGATTAAATTTGTATGCCAGAATAAAATTGTTTCTTATAAAACTTCTTGTTCAAAACCATCATCATAGGTATACGGCAGAATTTTAAATCACTTAAATCTCAAAACAATGTCAAGCTAATAATAATTACCAAAAACTCTTGGAAATATTATGTTAATGATAGGCGGTTGAAAATTGGTAACGATGGTTACGTTAAATTAGGTGGTATTAAATTAATTGTTACTTCGCTGCACAGTCGCAATTAATTAATCACGATGCGTCACTCTTTTGTTTGCGGATTTTGAAAGCGAACAAAGAACTAAAGACCGCAAGAAGCAAATAAAGGTCTGCCAAAGATGTTATTATGTGACGTCCTTGCCTTTGAATTGGACCAGTGTAAGATTCTGCATCTGGTAATTTCAAGAAGAAATGAACTTTTGATGGAATTTTCACAAAATTTCATGACCATTTTAACACCAAATTAACACCATACATGGTCTATATCGATACCAACCAAAATGGTGTTAAATATGGTTCGTTTGTCCAGTCAAAGTCTAACATGGTGAAAATTTAACTTTCACACAGTATTAAATAAATTTTACCTGGTTAGACCAGGGTCGATAATTTTTGAAAAAGGAGAAGAATATAATAAAAATGAAAGGAAAAATAAATTACGGGCGATCTGACTTCGGGAAGTGGGAGGGGGGGGTTTTAAGGGTACAAAATGGTTTATCTCGATTTCCGGCAAAACTACAAGTTTTTGGTTTTTTATTTTTATCTTTTAAAAAAAAAAAAATTTTTTCCACGAAATTTGGTGAAAACTTACCTTTTTATGTCCCAAATACACTGTAATTTATTTGATTTGAAATATTTATTATTTCGCCATATTTTGACTTAATATCAAAAAAGCACCCTAATTTTCAATCGAAAATTCTCGCGTCAAAATATCAGCTTTGAAAAAGAAAAATAAAAAACAAAAAACTTGGGTTTTTTGAATTTTTCACATAAATTTTGAGGCTATGTAAAAGAATTGTAATTACAAAAGTTGTAGATCCTTTTATTACCTACAACTTTGCCATTTAACTTTTTTCCATAGGACTTGTAGTTTTGCCGGAAATCGAGATAAACCATTATTTACCCTTAAACCCCCCCCTTCCACTTCCCGAAGTCAGATCGCCCGTAAT